TGGTGGCACAGTGGCTAAGAATCCACCTGCCAATGCAGGGGACATGGGTTCGAGCCCTGGTCTGGGAGGATCCCGCGTGCCGTGGAGCAACTGGGCCCGTGTGCCACAACTGCTGAGCCTGCACTCTACAGCCTGTGCTCCACAACAAGGCAAGCCACCGTGATGAGAAGCCCACGCACCGCAACGAATAGTGGCCCCTGTTCGCCGCAACTAGAGAAAGCCCGCGCACAGCACCGAAGACCCAATGCAGCCAAAAATAAAATAAATTAAAAAAAAAATTAAGTGAGGACTAGTCTCTTCCTCCAGGACTTGCAACCTACTGTGGGTAAGCACAGAACAAGATCAGTTAAGATCCTCTTTGTTCATCTTTTTTTTTTAAAGCTTTAAAAAATTTTATTTATTTTTGGCTGCCTTGGGTTTTCGTTGCTCTGCATGGGCTTTCTCTAGTTGCGGTGAGTGGGGGCTACTCTTTGTTGCAGTGTGCAGGCTTCTCATTGCGGTAGCTTCTCTTGCTAGGGAGCATGGGCTTTAGGTGTGCGGGCTTCAGTAGTTGTGGCACACGGGCTCAGTAGTTGTGGCATACGGGCTCAGTAGTTGTGGCACACAGGCTCAGTAGTTGTGGCACGTGGGCTCTAGAGCTCAGGCTCAGTAGTTGTGGCACATGGGCTTAGTTGCTCTGTGGCATGTGGGATCTTCCCGGACCAGGGCTTGAACCTGTGTTCCCTGCATTGGCAGGTAGATTCTTAACTACTGCACCACCAGGGAAGTCCCTTCATCTAATTTTTTGAACCAATTAAGGTTAGATCAGGGTCTCAGCAATAAGAATGGAGAGGAAACATCTGAAAGCAGGGCTTGCAGATAATTACAAGCCCTTTATTTATTGGGTCCTGCACCACCTGCTTTTACCCCAATCTGTCTTTATTTTTCCCAATTTATTCCCCTGTTCTTCCTTTTGATCCTCTTCTCCATAGTCAAGGGCACTCACTGAACACTGGCAAATCAAATAACATCTTATTTAAACCCGTTGTCTTTCTCTGAGCCATGTGTGTTTTCTGCTCTGAGTAGGCTTGACATTCTTTCCATTTAATGTTCCCATCTCCAAGCAGTCAACTATGTATATTATACATGGAATTAGTTGAAGTTCATATAAATCAGAAAGGCTGGTGCATTTTCATTAAAACTCTTAGTTTAAATGAAAAAATAAAGGAAATACTAGAAAACAGTCTGCCAAACAAGCATAGAGAAAAAAATACATGGCCTTGCTTGAAGTGTAACTCTTCAGTCTATCAACTTAGTTCAATAGAGATTTAACTAAATAGTCAAGTACCTGGCACATAGTAGGCCAATCACTGGGATAAGCTGAATAAGACAGTTCCAGTCCTGAGAATTTTTAGACTTATAGACAGGTGATGAAAAACGTACCTAGTCAGATATCTCCTTATCTTTGCTGCTCATTCTAGTCTGCACCACGATCATTTCTTACTTGCGCTGCCTTACTGCTTCTGCCATCTCTCCCCACCCCCACTCCAGTCCCCTCACAAAGCTTGCGCGAACCTCTTAAACATAAATCCCGTCACTCTTTCGCTTCTTACTCAAGAACATTCTGAGTCCTTACTCTCAGTCCATAAGGTATGATCTTCCTTTGATGTCATCTCCTACCATCATTTATCTTACTCATTACTCCATTCTGCTCCATTCCCACTTGGCTTCTTTACTGTGCCTAGAATATTCTAAACACTTTCCCACCCCAGACCCTTTTCCTGGTTGCCTCTGTCTGGAATTCTCCTCCCAAAACATCTGCATGATTTGCTCCATCACCTCTGCAGATCTCTGCTCAAAGCCTGTCTTATTACTCAGTCCTTCTCCGACTACCTGGCATTCCCTACCTCCCTTCATCGTGTTTTACTTTTCTTAAAAGCATTTACTCAGTAAAATGCATCTATTACCACTGGAATTTACCGTTTATTGTCTGCCTTTCAACAATTTTGGAGGCTTCACGAGAAGAGGGTGTGATGGTTTTTTCCGCTGTATTTCCAGCACGTGGAATGTCAACTGGCATGTTGTCAATGGTCAATAAACACTTCTTAAATGAACTGGATCAATGATTGGGGGTTATGCACAGGACTTTAGGGGAGCAGGGTATGTGGTACAACCTGGGAGGAATGAGGGGATCAGAGAACAATTCTTTAAGTAATCTTTGGGCTGAGACTTCATTCATTCAACATTCTTATGGAGTTTTACTACGTGCCAGGCACTATTCTAGGATGTAGCTGTCATAAAGGCAGACAAGTCCCTGTTCCCGTGGAACTTACAATCTTGGAAGAAAGACAAGAAACAATCCAATGCATGAGTAAACAAGAAAAATATCCAACACTGACACATGCTATGCAAATAACTAAAATAGGATGATGTAAAAGACAGCACACCTAGGGGGTTACTTTAGATTGGGTCATGAGGGAAGCAACTCTAGGAAGTGACATTTCAGAGGAGACTTGAAGGACAGTGAGTAAGCACCCATGAAAAGATGAGGGGGTGAGCATTCCTATAGAGAGACAGCCAGGGAAAATTCCTGAAATGGAATGGGCTTGAAGTGTTCAAGGGACCAATTGGAGGACACACAGCTGCAGAGAAGTGGGCAAGGAGAAGAGGGGCATGACTTAAGATCAGACAGGAAGAGTCCTAGGAATGAGCAGGACTTAGGAGGTGAAGCAGGGGAAGAAGCAGATGGAAAAGCATTGTAGGTGGTAAGAATAGCAAAGGCAAGAAAGCAGGAAATAGACTGGTATGTTTGAGTAGCTCTAGGAAATGTGTTTCTCTTGAGTCCAATGTACAAAGATGCAATCCAGAACACTGTACAGCTAAATTCGTTTTTTTGTGAAGCTTCTGGCACATTTTGCTGCAGCTGAGAAAAGAGGACCATCTCTCCAGTAAGCACAGCCTCAGGGAGCTCTATAACCAACCTACTTTGGAAGGTGGGAAGCAAGTGCAACCTTGCATATTGTATTCTAAACACAATCTCAGATGTGTAAGCTGTCACCTCCCCCATTTTAGACACTAAAGGACCAGCAGGTGGGTTAAGTCACTCACAGTCAAGAGCTGGGGCTCAATTCCATGTCATGCTTTACCCAGTGCTGTTAACTCTGCTGTCCAGTATCTCACTGACTGATTCAATACACCTGCCTGGAATGATCCTTGCCATCAATTTCTTCTATGCAGCTTGCCTTCTACAGTTTTCCTTTGGCTTTATCTGTTTTCTCCTGTACCTACTTAAAATTTAGAAAATATATTTTTCCTTTTTCCCCCTCAGCTAATCCTAATCAATTCCATGTTTTATGGAGGCTGTTCTGTAGCTCAGCCTTCTTCTACTGACAAAAGTGATGCAAACCCCAATAAACTCAAAGATGGGATTAATAGGCTTGGATACATTTCTTTACGGTAACTGAGTCCCCAAGGAATGTCTAAGTCTTTGGGAATCTTGACATATCAGAATTTTTAACAGTTGAGACTTTGTTATCAGTAGAACGAGATTCCTCAGAGAAGGTGGTGCTGACTTCACAACAAGGAATTTAGGTTGATGATTTTTCAAGTAAACAGTGACTTATGAGTAACTATTCAATATGTGTGTCACAATGGCTTGCTGCTAACAGACACTATGCATTGAGATCAAAGCCATTTTGAAACTCTTATTTTATACATCCTATTAGAAGGCACTAGGAAGTATATCAAGACAAAATATTTACAGTCAACCCTTGAATAACACAGGTTTGAACCGTGTGGATCCACTCGTGTGGATTTTTTCAGTAGTAAATACTACAGTATGAAATGATCCATGGTTGGTTGAATCCTCGGATATGGAGGGACCGTGGATACAGAGGGCTGACTGTAAAGTTATACGTGTATTTTCAACTACGCAGAGGGTCAGCACCCCTAACCCCTGCATTGTTTGAGGGTCAACTGTATTCAGACGGAAACAAATGAGGGGTGAAATTTTCTTCCATTAACAATGACACATTTTCGGCGGGGGCGGGGCGGGGTGGTGGTGTGATGAATTGGGAGATTGGGATTGACATATATACACTAATATGTATAAAATGGATAACTAATAAGAACCTGCTGTACAAAAAAATAAAATAAAATTCAAAAATTAAAAAAAAAAACCCAAACTCTCTCCCAACCCAAAGAGTAAAAAAAAAAAACAATGACACATTTTGTACTCTTACACCACAAACCTCTAGTCCACAGTCCTTACTTAACAATGTAAACATGTAGTTAGGATAGCACTGTTCAGTTAAGATGTCCATTGCAAATGAAGGTGATGAATTCTGACTAAATAACGCTATCTATAGTTGCGGGAGCCATTCACTTAAAAATTTTTTTTGGATGTCTAAGATATGCCCAATGTCTTCTAGTACTTTTCTGTTAGGTGGCCTCATCAATAGTGTCTACAAATGCCAGGATGTTTATGAATTTTAGCAATGACATGCACAGTTACTGTTTCTTGAAAGGCTGATTGTTTGTTTTGTTGTTTTGGTAAATGGTAAATTCCCAAAATGCTTGGGAAAAAGGACATTCTTCAATGCAAATAAAAACTAAAAGGTAGGACAGAAGGCAAGGACTGACCAAGCTGCTAAAAAGAAATAGTCGGGAGAGAGTTGGTCCCAATTTTTTGATGCAAAACATTTCTAGAGATGCCAGCTTAAAGGCAGGTGCTCAGCAACCCTGCCCTTTTTGACATTAGTGGAGGTTAGCAAAAAAGCAAATAAACATAATTCCAAGAAAAAGATGAGCCAATACCGGGTAGGGTCCAAGAAGCAGAGCATAAAAGTGCAAAACATCAAAAATGACTAAATATTTTACTTCCATTTTCCAGTGTTTCTTTTCACCCACGCTTAAAGAAATGAAATATTTTGGGGCTTAAAACATATTTTATAACACCCAAACTGTGACAAGAAACAAACGTTATTTAGCTGACATAAAAATGAAATTAATATCAGCATTACCTGAAATTCTAATCCATAGTTTTCTCTGCAGAATTCTCTTAATTTAGGATACACGTTTTCTCTTAGTGCCTGTCTTTCTGCTCCCGTGTCTGTGGTAGAAAAGCAAACAAACAGAAAGTGAGTTATGTCCACATAGTACACATTTCTGGAAAAAAAAAGCTTACAAATAAACATTAACATTAATATAATCAAGCTAGGGTGCTTCATCGTGAAATGATGGGATATTAGTCTGCTGGAGAAGACTTGCTCTTAACAAAGCAGGGGAGCTGTTTACCATGCACACAGGGTGAATGGGAGCCCTGGGTAAGCTCTGTGGGTGCTGGCAGAGCTGGGAATTCACAGCTCATTCTTTATACCCATGTAGACCCTCACATGGCGCTCTTAAATAGCTACAACCACATTGTCTTTCAAAGAGGCAGAAGGAAAAATTGTAAGGCTATCAGGTGTAGCTCCACTGGGTGTAAATATTTCAAAACACACACACACACACACCCCGATTACTGATTTCCAAAAACATGCAGACTCTATCATTCCCTACAGTATTTAGAAACAATGTTACTTTTACAAGATTCAGTACAGCATCTGTGCAATCAGCACAATAGTCAGGAGCGACTAATTGTAGGAGTCATCGTCTAAAACTAGCGGATTCCACTGGCCAATGGTTCAACATTAGCGTCTCCCACCCTGGGCTTAGGGACCTGTTATATCAGAGAGGGGATCGTTTTACATGGGCCACAGTGTGTAAAAGCTTCGAAATAAAATATTTAAAAACTATCCGTGTCACTAAAAAATACGAGAAGAAACAGAGCACCCGAAACCAGGAGAACCATAACATATGTACGTATTTAATGTTGAATGTTCTGCACAGAAAGGGATTCTACAGCCACTTGTGCTGGACGGTGCTCTACATCAGTGATGACGCTGTAAGATACTTACAGCAAAGAGAATGGTCCTCGCCCAGCTAACTTCACGGAAAGATAAGAATCAGAGCTTAAAAAATTAGGTTAATGTGTTATCTCATGAAAAGGACCATTTGCTAAATGTACCTCAATCCCAGCCATAACCATGAAACATCTGCATACCACATTTATAACTCAGGAACCAATTTAAAAGACTGTCCTTGTTATTCTCAAGCACATCTGTCCGTGCAAACTCAACCATGTGCCGTGTTGACCTACTCTACTTTCCTACTGTTCTCAAGCCTGTTTTGAGAGGCAAACAACCAATCCCAAGAGTCTGAGATGCAGCGGCAGCTTGACAGAGTGACAGGAACCAGTGTTTACATGGGAACCAAAGATTCAATACAAGGTCTTCGAGATTACCCTGTGATCCAAACAAGTAGGGTCTTTTCCCCCCATAGATCCAACATGGACCTAAGTCCAAAGGGAAAGCAGGAGGACCGTGTTGAGGAGGGTATACCGGAGCAGTGCCCATGTGCCATTACGGCACTGGTGGAAGCAGCAGATTAAGCTTCCACATGATTTATATAATCTTGGGATCAGGTGCCCATCCTCCCTCACCCCACTGTAAGGGCTGAAAACACTATCTTCCAAGTAAAGCTGATGATATTCAATCTCTCTAAAAGGCTACCGACTTTTAAGACCCAAATAATAAAAAGTCACTTTAAAAATGAAGAGATACTACCAGATGTGGAATTTGGGAATATATTAAACAACAATTATTGGTAAGATATTCTAAAAAAATAGTATTCAAATAATACATGAAAAAAATTATGAAATGAGCAGAAATTTGCTTCTAAAAAATATTATAACTCTTATTACTGAATGTGTCACAGTAAGGAGGCTAAGACAGAAATGCAATATCTAATTACTAACGTTTACTGAGTGCTTACTGTAGACTAGTAGTGTGCTAAGTTTTTCTATGTGTATTTTCTTAGTCACTTCTGTCAAAAACCCTATGAAAATCATCAGTCCATTTTTAAAATAAGAGGAAACAAATATAAAGGGGTTAAGAGACATGCCTGAGGTCATGTGACCACTAAGTTGGAGAACCTGGATTTGAATTTAGAGAGCCGAATGCCATAGTCTGCTCTAACCATGGAAAATATGCAACTGTGCAAAGAATCAATTTTTGAAAATGACAAATGCAAGAGCTTCCCAGAATGGTTAAGGAATGCTGAAGTCCTAATATTTATGAAACAAACAAAAATCTCAGTTATCCGTGACAAATTTTTCCCTTTCTATAATACACCCTTCAATAGCCAACCCATCAATAAGTTCTCTTGCTCCATCCATCTCTAAATAAATCCTGAATGAATCTACTTCTCTGCACCTCTGGTACAAGCCAAACTCATCTCTCACCTGGACCCTATCTCGCTGTTTCCATACTTGGCTCCGTCAATCCATTCTCCACAGAGCAGCCAGATTTATGTAAAAACATAAATCCGATCACATCACTCTCTTGTTTAAAATCCTCCAGCAGCTCTTCATGGAACTTGGAATGAAATCCCCACTCCTAACCTTGAATGTTCTCTCCTTCTCTAAGCTCATTTCTTACCACTTGCCCTGTTGATGTCACTCAAGCAGCGCTGGCGTTCATTTGGTTCCTGGGTTATATTCTCACTGGTGACCTCTGCTCTAGCCATGACTTCCTCCTGGAATGCTTAGTCCCATGGTCATTTCATGTCATCTCCTGTCATTCAAGTGTCAGCTTTAACGCCACCTCCTCAGAGAGGCCTTCTCTGAGCCCTCCAGCTACAGACCCCTCTCTATCACACCATCTTCTTCAAATTCTTTGCACATTACTCATCACTATTGGTGATAATTTTCTGTTTACTATGTGTCTCCCCCACTGCCAGGTTAGCTCAATGGGACTCAGAACCTTCTTCTGTCTCCTTCGCTGCTGCATCCCCAGTGACTAGAGTCATGCTCAATTAAGGAAGGAGTATATGAAAAAACCCACACAGGCACCAGGGATAAAAATGAGCTGACAGGCAATGCATCTCTGCAATTACCTCCAGAAACAGAAAGGCTTCCTACATTACAATATGCCATTGGTTGGACAGGGAATCAAGACTGTGAAATTCTGGGAAATACGTGATTGGGTTTAGAAAGTGGACTTCATGAAGTAAGTGAATGAACTGAAATACTGATGTCTTTCATGGTTTCTGTGTTTCTGGCAAAATACTAATATTTTATCAAATTATGTTAAATGTTTCTAAAAATGTGAGGGAAGTGTATGACAGGCATTCTTTATTATTACTTATATTACAAAAGCGACTCCGATTTTCCTATATTTGTATTAATATAGGATGATTGGCTCTGGAAATGGAAAAGTAATTAAAATAAAATGGATTAATTATGCTGGGTGACAGATAAGCTGGCTTAATTATACAAAAAACCTGATTCATACTGACAGCACATCCTGATGGTTGGCAATTAAAAAACACTAGAATGTCATGGAAAGGAAAAATTAAGTCACAGAATGTCACACATAAAAAGGGACCTCTTACAAAAGCGTAGAAGACGAGGTATGTCATCATTTATTCTTCATAGTCACTGCATCCATTTGTATCTGTCCAGCTCCTGAATGCTTTGAAAAGATGCATTAACACTTCGGTAGCACTAGAGAGGTTTTTAAAGAGTTGCTTTCTAAATAATTCCTCTATGATTTCAGAATTAATGATGGTCTCTGTGTAGTATCTGAGTTACCTGCAGGAAGAACATTAGCTGGCACAGAATTATCAGTCAATATCTTTATCCTACTTCAAGCAGGATTTAGATTAATTCCAAGCTTTTATTGAAAATAAGAGTGCCAAAAGGACCATGTTGGACTGGAACTTCTTACTGCCCCACCTCACCCAACCTTCAGAGCACGGATGTTAGATTAAGTCATTTCCCTCCTGGCAGCTCACAAAACTTATTTAGGATCCACCTACAGCTGTCATTCCAGCCTAGGTTCCCGAGTCTCTGTAGGTTTGCTCTTGCCTGGATTTTCCCTCTTTACCTGGCCCCTTAGCCAATGATCCATCTGGACATCTTATCTGACTTTTGTTGTTGTTGGGGTTGATTTCCTGTCTGGCAGCTTCCCAGAGGCTACCTCCTCTCCATGCCCTCCAAGTCCTCTGTGCCCAACCATCACCCTCACCATTCATTATTTCCGTATCACCACATCCTGTCAATTTTATCATAATCTTCTTTTGAATTTGGCTAGGCTTTTCTGTCTACTCTCTATTTTTGTACTCACCATCTCTCAGCCCTTAGAGTCTTATTTGACTGACCTGTTACCTGTCCCTTCTCATTGCAGTCTTAAGCTCCACAGAGCTGCCGGAGATAAATTCTAAGACAAAACAAAAGTGAAAACTAATTGGTCATTAAAGACCTTGGCTGGCATCTGGTGGCCCAGAGGATGAAGGCCAGAATATTCAGCAGGTGTAAATGTATCTTCGACCTAAGTTCTATCTTCTACTGCTCTTTATCATGCACCCTCCAGGGTATTTTTCAGATATTACTTGAACCCGAGCCTTGTCTTTACACATACTGCTTTCCACACCCAGAATCCCCTATCTACTGCATCCCCTTTGCTTGGCAGACTCAGACCCTCCTGAGTCCCAATCAAAGGCAGCACAGTTTGTGAATGCTTACGAGACAGAGACAGGCATGCCCTGGTCACCCCATAGCACTTTGTTCACCCCTATATAACATCATGTATTTTACTTTATTATAAATATAATATTTTTAATTTATTTATTTTTAGTCTGTCTCCCCCATTAGACTTGTGAATTCATGGGAGGCAAGGACATCCTCATACATAATTATTATAATTAGGAATGAAATGCCATGTAGCATACTGATGCTACAGAAGTTAAAAAATATATATAAGGATATACTGTGAACAATAACTTTATTTCTAATAAATTAGAAAATGTGGGTGAAATGAACAAATTCTAGAAACAGAAATTATTGAAAGTGACTCAAGGAAAAGAAAATCTGAAGAGATCTACAACAAGTTAAAAAATTTCAATTAGTTATTAAAAATCTTCCCAAAGAAAATCACCACCCAGAGTATTTAACTGATATATCAATAGTTAAAGAAATAATCCCTTCCACTTTCAGAAAAGAGTAGAAGG